AAAAAAATAGTCCCCAGCTCCAGGAATGGGGCTGGCAGCTTCCAGAGTAGAGAGGATGGGGGGTAGGGAGGTAGGGACTCGGGAGGTGGCTGGCCAGGGACAGTAAGGCAACTGGTGTGAGGCCGTGAGGGGAGGAGGGTGGTACCGGGAAGGAGAGGAGACCCCTTGTCCCAGCCAAAAGCCCAGCTTTTGGGGATGAAGGGGCGGATGCTTTGGACATCAGGGATGCGGTGACTGAATGGGGTGCAGAAATTAGGGATGAAGGGGAGGCCCAGGATACCGTTATCTGCTCCGGGAACTAGCCCATCCCCGGGACGACCTCTCTGCCCTTACCGAGAGCTGAGAGCTCAGGGACTGGACGCGGGCCCGGGGCAGGGGAGATACCCAAAGGCGGCAGTGCTGGGGAGATGATGGCGGTAATTAGCAAAATCGTCCCCATAATGGGAGCAAGCTGGAAGCAATTTGCGGAGCAGTTATTAACCGGTCGTTCCTCCACCCACAGGCGGGGGGTCGGCTTTAATATCTAGGAGCTGGGGCCCGCCAGGAGGAGCAGAACCACGGCCCCGGGTGGCCCTGGCCCTGCACCGACGGCGCGGATTTAGGGTCCGCTCACTGGGGCTCCAGTCCCGATACACGAGTCGAGCTGGCCAGACCTGCCTCGGGAGGCCCGCTTGCATATCTCTTTCCCAGGCCTTACCATCTCTTGGTGAACCTTCATTTCCTTATGGGCGTACTCAGAACTACCTTTCGGGGCTGTTGTAAGGATACAATGAGGCGATGTGTGTAAAGGGTTTTATAAAGTGAAAAGTTTAGATACACGTCAGATGTTATTACTGGGTTTTTTTTTGGGGGGGTTGTATATTTTCTTTTTTTAAAAAATTACTTTTATGAAACACACTCTACCTCTTCCCCTGGCCAGCTGAAGGCTCTCCAGTGGACAGATGTGAAGGGGTAGCTGAAGAAGTCGGGGTTCAAGGAGCACATCCCTGCTCTGCCCCACCCAGCCCAGGAAAGTGAGCAGCCATGTCAACGTGTGGGGTGGGCTATCCAAGGTCAGCCTCCCCACATTCCCCCTCACCCCCCATAGACTCCAGACTTCCAGAAAGTGGATTCAGAAACACTTGGTCTCCCAGCTGGAAGGGACTTCAGAAGCGGCCCACTCTGCCTCTGAAATGAACAAGAACCCATGCCCTGCCTTGGCTCAAAGCCCTCTGGGAGGAGAAGGACCTGCGACTCCCTCCCTCCTCCCAAGGCTCCCCTGTCCACTTTGGGTTGCTGGGACAGTGAGGAAGTGTTTGCTTATATTCAACCAGACCCTGCTCCCTTCACCATCACCCCTCCTAGTTCTGTTCCCTGGAGCCAAATCTAAGTGTAATCTGTCTTCCACATGGGACAGCCTTCTTATCCTAGCTATTAGTTCTCACGTGTGCCTGGTCTCTCCCCTTCCCAGCTAAGCCTTTAGCCTACCCTTCTATGGTGAGATCTTTACTTCCTTCCCAACCCAGACTGTTCTCCACTGGGCTCTCTCCAGCTGAGCAAAAGCCTCCCTACACTGCGGCACCTAGACCTGAGCATGGCCCTGTAGATGGGGTCTCAAGAGGTCAGTGAGCTCCAAGACTGAGTATACTGGCCTGTACACCCATACCCACACATCTCCACATATCCCCTCCTTATTTGTTTCTGCTCCAGAGACTTCAGAGACTGCCGGGGCAAAGAGAGAAGGAGGCAAACGAAGAGACTTAGTGACTGAGGAGCCAGGAAAAACAAAAAACAACCACTCCTATTGTGCCTGTGGGTACCTGACCTGTGGCCAGCTCTTCCAATAATGACAGATGAAGGCTCAGAATGTTGACACTGGGTAGGGGAGCCAGGCTCAAGTCCACAAGCAAGATGAGGAGACAATATTTGGGGAATGAACTTGAGGGCACAGCCTTGACCCCATTCCCACCACCCAGACAAATTGATGGAGGATTAATTGGTTGGGGAATGGGGTTGTGATGTGTGTGTGTGGGAGGGAAGGGTAAGGGGTAATGCCCGCTTAGGAGACTCGAATCCAATTCAATAAGCTTTGGTTATTAAGCACCAAGAATGCAGAGTCCTATACAGAAAACTCTAGGAGAAACCAAAGTTAGAGAAATAGCCCACCCTGCCCTCAAGTAATCTACCCCATAATAAAGGAACAGAACACCCAAAAATAATAAAGAGAAAAAAGCTTCGATATTGCTCCATTTCTCCAACTAAATTGGAGGAGAGACAGATGCAGCAGAGAGGATCAAACCAAGAGCTGCATGAATGGGGAAGGGGGAAGGTCATTACTGACTGGAGAGATGGGTTTGGCGTCCCCAGGATTGAGACATTGGAGTTGGGCTTTAAAGGATAGGAGAGGAATTCTAAACTATAGGGGGGAGGTGAGCACAGGAGTAGGTAGGAGGTGAGCCACAGCAGTAGGGAACAGCCTGAGCAACAGTCAGAACTGGAGGATGGGACCTGGATAGTACCCAACTACACTACAGAATGCAGGAAGGGGAGTAATTTGAGATAGGGCTGTGAAGGGGCCAGACTGTGGAGGGCCTTGAATGGTTAGCAACAAGTCTGAATTTGGGCAGATGATGAGCTATACAAGAAGTCCTAGACTATGAAAGCATCAGGAACTGCAAGGGTACTTCGTCTAACCCCCGGCCTCTGAGGTCCCTTCCAGTGGAGGAGAGGAGAAGAGAGGAGATTGAAAACAGGATTTCTTCTTAAGGAAATCTGGCTCCTAATAGTGTATCTTGAATGTTTGTTGAATTGACTTGAACTGAATTGAATTAAAGGGCACTTCCTTGCCTTCTGATGGCCAGCATTAAAGTGTCAGGTTAAATGGGACAAATTAATCACTCTCATTTCCCAAATTGTGCCCCCCAAAGCTCTTGATTTTCAGCCATTTCAGATGCAAATTTAATTAACGAGTTTCCTGGAGCTGGCACCTAGACAGATTCATTCTGGAGAGAAGGCTCTTCTCTGTCTCTCTGTCTGGGAGCGTCCCTCTCCCCTCCTAGTCTGTCGGTCTTTCATCCATCTGTCTGGTTTTGCCTCTGTTTCAGTCACTATCGGTTTCTATGTGTGTCTTTGTCTCTATCTCTCCAGCTCTCTGTCTCTCTCTGTCTCTTCTGTCTCTCTGTCTCTCTCTCTGTCTCCTGTTCTCTCTGTCTAGGCCTTTGCCCGTGTGTGTGTGTGTGTGTGTGTGTGTGTGTGTGCGTGTGTGTTCCACTCTCTCATCCTCTATCACTCCTGCACCCCGGGGGGGGCACCCAGATGAGGCTGTCCAAGAATCTCCCAGCCCTCCCTTCTGGTCCAGCATGGCAGCGTTTGGCGTTAGCGCGGGAGGCCGGCCGGTTCCCTTTGCTTTAGGCCAAGCTATTTGGCCTTCGGTCAGTTCGTGGAACCCAGGGGCAAATGGGAGCGAAGGTCTATCTCAGCATCTTTGCGCAGAGTTCGGGGGCAAGGAGCAACGCCTCAGAACGCAACGAGGATTAGCTGAGCCTCCTCTCTGCCCCTCGCCCCACCCCAGCACCCCAGAAGTGCTCTACGCAGGCGGCTCTGGGGCCCAGGGCTTTTCCCCCTGGGAGGAAGATGACGGGAAGAGCGGAAAATCAAGGCTCCCTCACCACTGGTCTGTGAGAAACACCCGCACGCTCACCGAAATCTCAGTCACACGCACACGCATACATACACCCACTCACTTGCACACGCGTATGAACACGCACGCACACATGGACACACGCACGCACTGGCACATGCACAAAAACATGCATGCACAGTCGCACACATGCACACAAACATACATGCACACATACGCAAGCGCGGACACACACGTTTGCTTGCCGCACTCTCTCCGGGTATCGGCCCCCAGCAGTTGGAGTTTGCGTCCTCCTTTATCATTCTCCGTCTTTTAAATGTGCATTTTTAAAAAACCCCCACCCAACCCCGCCCCTCGTTGTTTTAAGGCCACATCAGTCATCCCGCTTGTCACTATTGTGATTTGGGACTGATGGGGGGGGTGCTTGACAGACAGACCCCAGGCCCCGCTGACTTGAAATCCTTAATGTATAATTTTCGGACGTGTAATTGGTCTTCAGGGGAGTGGGGGAAGGGAAGAGGTCTTTCAAAGCGGGGTTGGGGGGGCGGAAGAGAAGGAGAGAGGGAGAGGGGGAGAGAGAGGGAAAAGGGAGAGGCCGGGCCAAGAGACGCTGTGCCCTCAGACTGAGCACCGCGGCGGAGCTCCGGCGGGTGTGTGCACCTCCGTGCGCCCGCGTGCTCGTTCCTCACTCTTTGTGTGGGGTGCGGCTTGTCCCTAGGGGCGGGGAGTAGGGGATCCTGTGTGGGAAACGCCAAGACCTCTCCTCCAGGGCCCACGGGAGGGCAGGGGAGGGGAGTTCCCGCACGACTGCGGGACGCCTCCCTCCCTCCCTCCCCCCCTTCTCTCCCTTCTCCTGCCTCTCTCTCTTTTCTTCCCTTCCTGCTCTCCATCAACTGGCCTCAGAACTCTATTGTTGCCAGAGAGGCCTTTTATTTCTATGCTCTCTCCATCAACAGAAATTTTTTCCCAGTCAAAAATTTACCGGGCTTCTCCTCCAGTCTATCTCTTTTTCTGTCTCCCCTTCCCCTCTTCTCCTCCTTCCCTTCCCTCCCTCTCCCTTTCTCTCTCTCCCTCCCTCCCTCCCTCCTTCTCCTTCACCTTCTCCCCGACTTTGTTGTGCTCCGCCTGGCTGCTCTCTCACTGATTTGAGGCTCCAGAGGGCAGGCGGACCTGAGAAGGGGAAGAGGGTACTGAGGGTCCCAGAGGGCCTCCGCTCCCCATCCCCGCCGCACGCTGTTGGGGCTTCGCAGCTCGGCTGGAGGCTGTCGGGGCTGCGGAGCCTCGGCTGCGGGTTCATGGGCGCCCGAGGGGCGCTCCGCCCCCACCTCCAGCCCGCTCCGGGTCTCTGTAGTAGCCTGAGCGTCCTTGTCACCATGCCACAATGGTCCTGATCTGGCTCCTGGTATTCAGTCTGCTCCATCCCAGCGGGCAGGCGGCGTGGGCCCTGGGCCTGGCTCAGCCAGGGCCCGCCAGGGAGGCAGAGACTGGGGCCCCAGAGGTCCGGCTCCGTAGAGATGCCGGGGGCCGAGGTGGTGTCTATGAGCACCTTGGCGGAGCGCCCCGGCGCAGGAAGCTCTACTGCGCCACCAAATACCACCTGCAGATCCCCCCCAGCGGCCGGGTCGGCGGCAGCCTGGAGAACAGCGTCTACAGTGAGTACCGCCCGCCAGCTGGACCTGGGGGAGCAGGGAGCGTCGGAAGAGGGACGGCTCTGGCCGAGGACTACAAGGACAAGGACGGGGACCGGGACAGGCACGGGGGTGGGGGCAGGTTCGGAGATATACACGGCAATGGGGCTGGAAGGGCGCAATACCGGACTGGGTTAGGAACGAGGACAGGGACAGGGACCGGGACAGGACGGGAAAGGAACAGAGACAAGCTTTGTCAGGGGGTGGATGCTCGGGGTGGCATTGGCACCTCCCTCTCTCAGGCCCAGGCTGAACCGGTGGGGAAGGGCTTCCTGATTCTGACCACTCTCGGGGGCTATGAGTTTCGGGGAGCCAATGTGTCACGTTATACGACGGTTCGTTACTAGTATTGCCGTGTTCCTGACACTTATTCCCAGTGCCAGCCAGATCGAGGAGCCTCAGGCTCTCTGCCTAGCGCAGTACTGTGCCCTAGTCAGGCTGTGTAGCTGCCCTTCCCGGCATTTCGGGATTGTGGGCTTATCCCCTTTGGAGGCAGTACAGAAGATAAATCTGCCTTTCCCCTCCCACTCCGGTCCTCGGCTCCCCCCCCACCCCAGTTTTTTCCTCTCAGGGTACAAATTTCACACACACACACACACACACAACACACACACACACACACACACAGAGACACGCACACGACACCATCTCTCCTCGCTCTCCCCGGGTCCCCAGGCCTCACTGTCCTGCGGAGCGTGTGCTCACAGAGGGTAGATGCTCTGTGCGCCCCTGGGGAGGGGATAGGTTGGACCTTGGAGTCTCAGTGCTTAGCCCCTTAGACTGCCCTTCTCCACCCCACTGCCCAGCCTCATTAACCCACCCTAGGAGAGTCTCAGCTCAGAAATGGCATCTCTGCCGAGCTTCGAAATAGATTTGGGAGGACGGGGGATTAAGAAAGTGTGCAGCGGCCACATCGAACCCACGTGCAGAGGGCTCGTTCCTCACCACTTTCCTTCAGCCTGACTCAAACTCCTGCCCAGACCCCATAGGGGTTTTTCTTACAATGCCCCAGTCCTGCTGCCCAGGCCCTTCCACCACCACTCCCTCCTGTTCCCGATGCCGGGGAGGATCGCGGGAGCTCTGCTGGGTATATTCAGTGCGTCGGGCAGCTTGAGAGAGCTGGGAATGGGATGGGGCGAGGGTCAAGAAATTAGGCGTCTGGGGAACCAGGAAGTCGAGGGACGGAAGAACTAGGAAGCTCAGCTACTAGGGGCTGGCCTCGCCACTCTGGTGGGCTCTATGTGCTTCCAACGTGGGTGCTGACCAGGGCGAGCTGAACGCGCGGACTCGGAAGAGGTCCCCGAGCGCTTCGATAGGATGGATAAAAGTGGCTATACTGCAGATTCCTATTCTTCCGGGAGGAGGAAGGTTAGTTAGTTCCGAACTATCCTGGAATGATCCTTGTCTTCTGAAACCTCGCTTTAGGCCTGGAAACTGGGATGTTTCTCTTCCCTGTCCTGGCCCAGGGTGCAGTACGCAGAAGGACTCAGGGCACAGGGTGCAGGACTCCAATCCCAAAGCACGGCACCCGGTATGAGTCGGGGCCGAGAAGGTGCAGGGGCCGTGGAGTAGAGTATAGGCGGTCCCAGGGCACTGTAGCGTATAGGTCGCAGAAAGACGGTGACCCGGGACAGGGCAGTAACCTGCACTCTCCCTGTGAATTGGCCAGCCTCGAGGTGGCTGGGGGGTGGGGGGGATGCGGAAGCTGCGGAGGTCTGGCTGAAGGCGGCGAAGGAAAACCGCGGTTTCCTAAAGGAAACCTCCAGCCACCAAAAGGCTTTTTTGAAGCATCATCCTTCAGAGTTCATTAAACTGGGTGATAGAAACCAGCTGTCACCCTCGTTATCCCCCGGCGGTCAGGAAATGAGGTGCTGATCAAGAATTTGTTTGGGAGTGGTGGGGGGATAAAAACAATTCCCACACATGTGTGTGCCTCCAAGTGCCAAAAGGATGGTTCCCCCTCCCCTTCTTTAACCAGCCCCTACATCCTAGTGCTGAACTCTACGACCTTGGTGTGGCAGAACTGGGAAGGCCAGGTGTCTGGCAGATCTGGCTTCTGGCCCTTTTCTTCTGCTTATTAATGCCAGTAAGGGTGATGCTAACGGTGGTGATGGATAGAGCTTCCAGGGGGAGCCCGGAAAGATGATATCCTTTGCCCCTGGCCCTGGTAGCTTGGCTCCTCATAGGGGTCCTATTTCATTCCCATGGCTTCCAACATGTTTGCCTCTCCCCCCACACCCATCCTCAACTGCCCAGAACTTCAGTAGCCTCTAACCCTTTGGCTCCCCACCACTCCAACCCAGAACCAATCACTTGTCCTTCGTCCCAAGGAAAGGGCTCTTTACCTCCTTGGCTTCTGACCCTGGGACAGAGGGGCCAGTATGGCTAAGCTTTGCCTTTCATTGGATTCTGGCTCTCCCAGACATCCTGTGATTGCTTCCAGGTAAGAGCCCCTTGGGGGCCAAGCCACTTAGGGTTGTATCCAAGCCTCCAGGTGTAGCCTGCCCCCTCCCATCTTCCCCTCTAGAAGACCTGAGGGGAGGCCATTGTCCTCTAAAGGAGACCTTTGCAGCCAATCTCAGAGAGTCAAGAGCTCCCCTGTCTCTCAGAAAAGGATTTAGACCTTTTTTCTTCTTTTCCTTTCTTTCTGTCTTTTTTTTTTAATAGACACAGGGGATTAGGGAACTCTGGTTCAATGTCAGGGCTTGGCCTTGGGAAGCTTCTGGAGTCTCAATTAATCAGCCAGGAATGTGCTTGGAGAGTAGGGGCCCAGCTTTAGCCAGGTCCTTCTTTCTTTGTCCAAATGCCTCCTTGCTTTAGAGAGGCCCTGGTGGGTGGCTTTTCTCTCCCGGGGCTTTGAAGTTATTTTAAAGAGAAGTAAGGGGCACTAGTGGTCAGCAGGGATGGCATACATTTCAACTTCTGGCTGGGCACAGGGGTATCACTAACCTTCAACACCAAGGATTCATTCTACTCTGTTTCTGTTCCTAGGTATCCTAGAAATCACAGCAGTGGAAGTTGGAATTGTGGCCATAAAGGGACTGTTTTCTGGGCGCTATCTGGCAATGAACAAACGAGGAAGACTTTATGCCTCGGTAAGCCTGGCTTTGATACCTCGGTGTCTGGGTTTGCCTAACCTAAAACCCAAGCAATGCCCACTAGACTGATTAGGTGGGCTGCTGGTCCCATTTGCCAAAGGCCTCAGAAGGTAAACAATGTTGAGAGAGCCCAAGGAGACATGAAGAGGAACCAAGGCCAGAATCTAGGTTTCCTTCTCTAGACAAAGTACTTTTCCAGTCTGGACCCAAGTTTTCTCATCTGCAAAAAGCAGGGCTGGGTTGAAGAATCGGGAGTGGCCCTCCCCAAAGTCTCTGAAGTAGCCCCCCAAACCTTGTTATAGTTATTGAATGTCCACACAAGCAGATGGAACCCAGATCATCCAATTCAGAAAAGAACTGATACTGTGGAGCTGATGTAGGGGGGAGTGCTAAGCGCATTTGAACTCAAAGACCTAGAATGGCTTTGCTATTTAATGTCAATCAATGAGCATTTATTAAGCACTTATCATATGTCAGATGCAGTGCTAAATGCTGGGGACCCAAAGAAAGAGAAGTGGGCCTGACCTCAGGGAGCTCACATTCTAATGGGACACTCAAATACCAAAGCAACTAGGTACATACAAGATACAAACAGAGTAGACAGGAGGTAATCTGAGAGGGCAAGGGATGGAGGTGGGGAACCAAAGGAAAGACGGACCTGGAAAATCCATCTGCAGAAGGTGGGATTTGAGCTGAATCTTGGAGGAAGCCAGGCATCCTAAGAGGCAGAGGTAAGGACAGAGCATTCTAGGCAGAGGGGAAAGTCAGTGGGAAGTCCTGTAAACTGGAGATTGGAGTCTCTTGTTGGAGAAAAAACAAATAGTAGACCAGTGTGAGTGGAAGGGAGTAAAATCTAAGAAGACTGGAAAGGTTGGAAGGGGTCAGATGATGAAGGTCTTTAAATAACAACCACAAGGATTTTTATTTGATCTTGAGAGTAATAAGTAGCCTGGGGAGCTTGTGGAGGTGGGTGTGGGGAGCATGGGCTCAGGTCTAAGACCAGAGTCTTAGAAAAATCTTGGCAACTTATACTGAGTGGAAGACGGATTAGAGTGGGGAGATTTGAGGCAGGAAGGTCAATTTGAAGGCTTCTGCAGTAAATTGCCCAGGTGAGAGGTGATGAGAGTCTGTGCTAGGGTGGTGACTGTGTGAACTGAGAGAACTAGGGGAGGTATTCAAGGGGTGGTATAAAGGTAGAAATGGAAATGTTTGGCCACAGATTGGATACACAGGATGAGTGAGAGTCAAGGATAGCACCAGATAACAGAATCTCAGAGGTAGGAAAGACCTCTGTGACCACCTGGTCTAACTCCCTCCCCCAACCCCTCCCAGCCCTAAAATTCACCAGACAAAAGATCTGTCTGTTGTTGCTTAAAGACTGAGAGGGATGATGAGTCTGCTTCTGGAGGCTGCCCATTTCACTTTGGGACAGCTCTAACCATTGGGCAGTTGGTCCTGACATCAAGCAATCAACAATCCTACTATGTGGCAACCACTATGCCAAGAGCTGCGAAATCAAGTCTAAATTTGCCATGATGATTACCAGTCACTGCTCCTGGTTCTGTCCTCTGGGGACAAGCAGAAGGTTTTGTTTTGTTTTTACCATGTACCAGTCTTCCACGTAAGAGGAATCTTGGGAAAGTGCCTTTCCATAACTGGGCCTCAATTTCCTGATCTGTAAAAAGTGCTGGTTAGATAAGATGGTGTCTATCCTTTGAGCTCCAAATGCTCTGGTTCTATAACCTCAGGTGAAAGTATGACTTTTCTTAGACCAAAGGTCACTTTAGGATTATTGGTTTATAACTAAGGAATCTCAGAAGAAATTTAGTCCAAACCTCTTCATTTTATAGATGAGGAAATTGAGACTTAAGGAAGTGACTTGCCCAAGGCAACTGGGATTCAAAGGCAGGTCCTCTGACTTCTGATCTAACCCTCATGGGCAACCCACCCCCCCAAAAGCTTCCCAGTGGAAGTGAGATTAACACGTCTCTTACTTGTGTCATTTCCCAGTAAGCCCCTGGCAATTGTGAGTTAGACTCGAGTTAGGGTGTGGCCTTTTTATGTGCCCCATCATCCAGCCTCTGGATACAGTCCAGTTTGGTCATTTCAGCTGTGACCCCAGTTTTTTTGGCAAAGATACTGAAGTGGCCATTTTCTTCTCCAGCTCATTTGACAGATGAGGAAACTGAGGCAAACAGGATTAAGTGACTTGCCCAGGGTCACACAGCTAGTTACTGTCTAGGGCTGGATCTGAACGTAGGTCCTTTTGACTCCAGGCCTGGCACTCTACTCACTGCACTGCCAAGCTGCCCTGGGTGCTCTAGAACATGATGCAGTGCTTTGTAAATATCTGTTGGCACTGCAGTCCCTAGATAGCTGTCTTAAAGAAACGGAGCTTTGGAGAGGAAGAGGTAAAAACATTTGGCTTTGTGGGAGAGGGACTAAGGAGAGATGGAACTTGGGGGGACCAGTGTTTATCTGGCCTTTAAGACCCTGTTCTGTGAGGGGCAGCCAGGTGGCGCAGTGGATAGAGCACCGGCCCTGAAGTCAGGAGGACCTGAATTCAAACCCAGCCTCAGACCAAACACTTGACACTTACTAGCTGTGTGACCCTGGGCAAGTCACTTAACCACAATTGCCAAAAAAAAAAAAAAGGAAGAAGACCTTGTTCTGCGCCAGTTGATGGGAAAGGCAAAGTAAAAACAAGAATTGGTCTAGCCCTCAAGAAGCCTACCTTCTATTGGCTCCGTCGGTCCACACTGGCATTGCCTTCACCCTGTTAGCACAGATCATGGCCCTCCCGCCACTCTGCTGTGATGACCAACCCCTGGGGATTCTTCTGGCCTGTGTACTATTGTCTCTTCCATAAGAAAAGAAAGGGGGAAAAAGTCAATTCCATAGGGTAAAATGTGTATATAATGTGTGTGAAATTTGCTCCCTCCAATTACTGCAGCATTGATTTGGCTAGCGGGCTGCATTCTTAAGGAACGAGAGATTTTCCATCTAGACATAAGCTTGACCATAAAACCAAGTTTCTATCTTTCTACTTTTGGTCTATGCTTTTCCAATGATGTTTTCTGGGCTCAAGTGAGTGTGCCGTGAAGGGGGAGCGTGGATTTGTAAAATCTTAATTAATTAAGGGCAATCAAAGATAAAGCGGCACACTCATATACATTCCCCTCTCAAAAACATTGACACAGTACACACATAGACACACACATCAAGAAATGCACTCTCATTCATATACATGTTCATGTACATATTCACTAGCACGCAATCACTAACCGATTCATACATGCATTCACACACAGAATACAGATATACTTATTCACACAATTCACACACACTTGCATTCACGCAGTGAAACTTATGTATCTGCTCTTTCACACATGCACACACTCAAACACACAATCACTAACAGAACACACAGAGACATACAGACATACTTATTCACACACTTGTATTCCCATGCTGGAACTTACATATATAATGCTCTTTCACACATGTACACACACTCACCCACAATCACTAAGAAACATACTCATTTACACAGAGACACATATATAGACACTCATTCGCACACATCCACACACTCATACTCACACAGTCACACACATACACTCACAATAATTAACACTCATTTGTACACATGCTTATACACATCAGCACACTCATTTATACACATACAACCATTATTTAATACTCATCCATACATATGCTCAGAGACACACAGACATGCTTATACACATTCACACTCATTCACACACATACACATATGCACTTTTGCACACTCAAGCTCACACATATATACCCACACCCATGTACAACCCCCAGACACTCAGACCTGATGGCTTTTCACCAACCTTGACTCTCCAGGTTTAAGAATTAAGCTAGGTAGCTGGAAGGCACCCAGACTTTCTTGAGCCAGCCAGGGCCCTCCAATAGTGTCCTTCCAGGGTGTTCCCCTGACCTTTCAAAATTCGTTCTAGCCCATTGGGAATATCCCCTTTCAAAGCAGTGCCTCTTTCTTCAGACAATGTGTATTGCCAAAGCTCTGGATCTGATCCAGGGCAGGCCTTGGCCAGCTGCCTTGTCTCTGCCTTCACCTTCTTAGGCCCCAAATGTTCACCTGCAAACTTCATGGCTTGAGGAGGGAGCAAAGCATGGCATTCTGAACACTCCCAATGTTCAGAGCCCACCACATTTCCCTTCTTTCCTTGAGAGAGAAGAGAAACAAAAGCAGGAGAGGCCTTAGAAGGCCCATGGCAGAAGGGCAGGCTCAGTTTAAGGATGCTGGGAAGAGAACCAGCTAGACCTTCCACTCGTCTTCTCTGGGATCAGCGTAACATTTCAATTGGGGGTGGCTCAGGCCCCAGCTGCCCCAGTGGAGAGCGCAGCCAGGAAGCCCTTACCCAGTGGAAGCAGATGTGAGGGGGCCAGACCTCTGGAGACAGAGCAAAAGCCAAGCCCCATAGCACTGGGCACAGCCTCCAAGTGACTTCCTGGAGCTGTCTTGGTCTGTCTTCTCTATATACTTTTTCAAGGAGGGGTCTGTAGGCAGGAGTTCACCATTTCCTCCCAGAAACCCTGAAACATAAGCAGGGCATTTATTGTCCATCTCATTTGACAAAAGAGGAAACTGAGGTGCGGAGAAGTAAAGGGATTTGTTTGTTCACGAAGGCACAATCGACACATGCCTGAGGCAAGATCGACCTCCCCTCCCCCCAGTTCTTCACGACTTCAGAATCAGCACTCTCTGTACTATGCCAGGCTGCTTCCCAATTACTAGTTACATGTCCTGGGACCAGTCAGTTCCACTTAGGAGCCCCAGTTTCCTCACTTCAAAGGAAAAAATTATAGTTCCGGTGTCAGCTACCTCATGGATGGGTTGTGAAAATCAGACAGGATTATATCCTGAAAGCTCTTGGTGATCTATAGAGAAATAACCAGATTTGATTGTGTCTGACACAATGATTTTTCCTCTTTTTAGTCACCTGGGGAGGCTTCCTCCTCAGCCCCAGGATTTAGAACTGGAAATGGCCTCCAAAGACTATCCTTAGACACCCCCCCCAAGAGTCCTCTTCCCTGGGGCTCTGAGCAGTGCCTTGTTTGTGGGAGCTAGCCTCTGTCAGGACCCTCATAAACCCTTGGCCACATCCTTGCAAAGGGCCAGATCTGTTTGTTATCTGCCTTCCATCTGCACCCCCCCCCCAAGCCACAGATCAAGGAAACTGTGATGTCACAAAATCACCAACAATCTTGAGACCAGAGCTGGAAGGCATCTCAAGAGTAATCTGTTCCAACCTTTCCACTTTGCGGATAAGGAAACTGAGGCCAGGAATGGTAGGAGTGATGGGTAAGACATAGCAGGTCTGGGATAAAAGGGGATATTTGGACTTCAAATTCTGTGCCCCATAGAAAGTCAGTGCCATCTCTCATCCTTGGAATGTGACTATAAAATCCTTTCCCTTCTCTTGGAGTTCCCAAGGGTTCCAAGGCCTGGCCCATTTCCCCCTTCTCCCCACAGCTGTTGCTGCATTCTTTTTACCAATTGATTGATTAATTCTCTAGAAGAGAGCTTAGACCTCCTGCCTTTTCTTGAGTGATCTCTGCTTTGCTTCAAAGCCGTGCTCCTTCTCAGCCCCGAACAGTGGGCTCAGAGCCCCTGCCCGCAGTGTCAGCCTCTCCCCTTCCTCCCCGGCAGATCCTGAGTTTTGAGGATTTGTTTTCCAGGAGAACTACAACGCTGAATGTGAGTTTGTGGAGCGGCTGCATGAGTTAGGCTACAACACCTATGCCTCTCGCCTGTACAGAACAGCGCCCAACGGGGCTGGGGCCAGGCGCAAAGCCAGCGCCGAGAGACTCTGGTATGTCTCCATCAACGGGAAGGGCCGACCCAGGAGGGGTTTTAAAACCCGCCGGACCCAGAAATCTTCTCTCTTCTTACCCCGAGTCCTGGATAGCAAAGACCACGAGATGGTCCGGCTCTTCCACACCAGCGTCCGGTACAGGGAGAGCCTCCGGCAGCCGGCGGACAAGAGTGAGAGGAAGAGGAGGCAGGGACACTCACCAGTGCTGGAAGCCGGGAGAGGGACAGCCCTGCCTGAGGTTCCCTCTGTGAGCGCGTCAGCCCCTCCCGGGACACTCTGACCCACCGTCAGCTTGAGTGGACATCTTGTCCAGCCTCCTCACATCTAGTGCTCTTAGACTCATTCACGGCGGTTTACAGAATGCCACACCCCTTGAGGCACATTACAATGGCAAGCCTTCCTGTCCATGGTTCTCTATCTCCATACCTATAAAAATTGCATTTAAAGGCTGTAACTCCTTACAATATATTTTTGACTTCCTTCTTCTAGTCCCCCCAGGTATCCTCATAAGGCCTTAACCATTCCCTTCTATTTCCGGGGAGTAGGCCAAGGGATTCCCAACTATTTGTCAATAAAGATGGGAATTGTGGATGGGAAGGCCAGGGTGCAGTGGGGCTATTTTGGGAGGAGAAGACAGGGAACAGGTTTCAGTTGAAATGGCTGTGTATTTCTCTTGAATTTCATTTTGATAAACCATCAAAGTCTATCATGCCTCTCACCTGAAGTCAACATAGCTGAGCTCTCTCAGCTTGCTGGGGAAGGCTCCTTGATTTGCGGGCTGTGGTCTCCAAGGCAGAGCCCAGCTCCATCACCTTCCCCCTTCCATTCCCTGAACACTCTCATCCTGTGCTCTCTTCATCCACATTTCCCCATCAGTCTTCCCTGAAGGCTGGAGGCCCTCCTCCTGTTCCTTTGACATGCTAGGGGTACCAGGGTACCACCTGGGCTATTGTTTCATTCTTCCAACATGAGCAGCCTGTGCCACTTTCTTTTCTGGTCCTGCACACCCTCCATCACATCTTTTAGGCCAGAAATAGATGAATCCCATCCAACAGCAACATACATGGGTGAACAGTTTGGGTATTTGGTATTTGTTTAATTAAATCATTAAAAAGACCTTAAAAGACTTTATCTGACTTCTTTCCTTCAACAATTTTCATGGGACCTGGAAAAACAGTGTTGTTTTATTGACATCTCTCTATCTGTGACAATAAGGTTTTTCATCTTTTCTTTTTCCCTGTAGACATGAATTAGATTGGCGTGGCTTCTCTACTGAAGGTTGTAATGTCCTCTGGGAAATGCGTTTTGTGTTCAGCATGAAAAGTCATTTCTCTTGAACCTGGAAGCCATGGGGGTTTTTTTGTTTGTTTTTTGTTTATTTTTGTTTGTTTGCAAAACCCTGTTCAGTTTGTCTAAGTTAAACAAATAAAGATGTGTGTGTCTCCACTGTGCCTGTGTAATTGCATGTGAGTATGAATGTGTGAGTGTGTGTGAGTGTATGCTATGTATACCCAGAGAGAGGAAAAGAGTGGACCTCTCCCTTCCATGTATTCCAAACATTCTGGATCCTAAAAGCATAATGCTTGAGTCCAGACATGATACTAAAGCCCTGCAAGTCCCCATTTGCCTAATTCCTTCATTTGTTTATTCTCGCATTCCTCTAGTAAAGCCTGGTGACCTCTTGCTCTGCAGAGACCTGTGCTCTTCAGCTCCAAGGGTTCCAGCCCGCAGGGAGCACCCAGACCACTGAGGACTATTCCCATGTCCATATGGCTCCCTGTCACATGTCGTCATTTATGAGCTCTTCTTTTTTTTCTTGGGGGGCTGTGGCAAGGTGCCATTTCTCTGTCGTCCACCTGAAAAGCACTGTTTTATCCCCTCTCCCCTTTACCATGACTAGATTCAGGAGCCATCTATTATAAGTCAAACACATGTTCAACTGGGGATATTGGTTAGCATACATATCTGTGCACACAAATATTAGTTTGTTGGTATAAGACCATGAGCAGAGAGCTCTAGGTCTATCTCAGTTCGCCACATTCATTGAAGATTTAACACCAGCTTTCAGTTGCATTTGTCAGCTGACCAACCTTTGTAAGCTTGCAGAGAGACCCTTTTCGTACTGAGACAAATGAAGTGGCAGAGTATTATAGAGGAAGGGTATAATACTACACATAGGGTCAGAGGACTTGGATTCAAATCTGCTTTGCCACTCACTGGCTGTGTGACCTGGGTTAAATCACCTCTCTGAAAACTGAGCAAGTTGGATTAGATCTTTCAGGTTCCTGCCAGCTGTAAACCTGAGTGATTTCATGATACCGTGACAAACACCTGTAATTACTCAGCTGGGCAAGACTGCTAAAATGCTCTACTCAGAAACTGTAAAGTCTCAGGCCAGTGTGGGCTGATGTACAGAACAGACCCTGCAGGCTTCCCCGCTAAAATAGGGATGCTAGCACTTGCTAACGAGGCAGGGGTGGGGGAATAGCTTAGCAAACCCTAAAGGGTTCTAGAAATGAGAGCCATTATAATCATCAACTGATTCAGACATCATGTCTTGGTTGAAATGATGCTAGGTTTGGAGCCAGAAGACTCAGGTTCGAATCTCAGCCCTACCTACCTGTATGACCTGGTTTGAGTCACTTGACCATTGTGGGCCTCAGTTTACCCATCATATAAATAAAGCTGGCTGTCCAGTTCTAATGCCATGATGCCACTATTCAATAGGTTTCTTCTTCTTGTTTAAAAAAAATCAGACTTGCTGCAGGCCTCCCATCTACTTAGTGAACAGTCCTTCTGGGGCCTCCAGGGCTCACACTGTGGTTAATCTGATAAGAGTGAGAGGCTCAGTCCATTACTAGAAAGTATGGGTTATCTGGGAAAGAGTCTGAGAGGCCAAAGGCCCACTTGGACCTTACCTCCAGGATGACTCTGCTTCCCTACGGTCCTCGGGGCCGCGTTTATCCAGCACAGATCCAGACGTCAGGAGCTGCTCACTCCCAAGGCAGTGTGTGAGACCCACCAACTCATTTTCCTCATCCCTCCCCTTCCTTGAACCTTCCTTCACCCACCTCTGGCCCAAAAAGTTGTTTTTCATTTGTGTTTTGTTGGAAGCAAAGCAATTCAAGGTCTGTGCTCAAACTCCAGCCTTGCTCCCATTGCCATTTTCTTTCTTCCTTTCTTTGTTCAAAAAAAATTTTTTTTTTGGTGAGGCGATTGGTGACTTACCCAGAGTCACACAGCTAGTGAATGTTATGTGTCTGAGGCCAGATTTGAACTCCAGGGCTGGTGCTCTATCCACCCAGCTGCCCCCCATTGCTATTTTCTTGACCTGAACAGAAAAAAAATCAGGTGAGACTCTCTGGCTTCCAGCTGATGTTAGGAAGAAGTGAGCTTGCTTCTGAGAGAATGTATATTGAGGCTCAGATTCTAGGTTGTCCTCTGGCCAACCCCAGCAATGCAGATACACCAGGATCAAGGTTCCAAGCTTGCCCCTGATTTACCAGGCCTCTGTGGCTTCGGGGGGGGGGATCTGGGGGGCACTGGAAGGCACTTTGGTGGTTTCCTGTGAAATAGAGGATTGGGGAATGCTTTGGAGGCCTTGTGGTCTTCCTGACTGACACCCACCTGCTCCTCCTGCAAACTGTGTTTTTGTCCACCAGAAGACCAAGGAAACATCCCATTTGCCTGGCGGTCCTGCAAGGTCACTAGCCAGTGGAATGCAGGAAGGCCAGAAACATAGATCTACCGTTAAAGGAAAAGATGGATGGAAGGGAGGTGGCTCAATTCATCCCAGGCCCACCTCTGGAAGGGGAAGTTGTTTGGGATCTCCATGTGTCCACTGGCAAAAGGACAACCCCTGAGGGCAGGCACCCTAAATCACCCTGTGTGGCCGGATTGGGCTTTACAGGACCCAAAATAACATCTTGTTTTGTTGATTGTCTAGACTTAAGAAAATGATGGAGAAAATCTGAAAAATGTAGATTAATCTGAAAAGTGTGCTGTGTGTATATAGGAGAGCCATTTGTTCAACATTTACCAGCACACCATGGCTCACAGGGTTCTTGTGAGGCAAGTGGACCATGGACCTTAAAAGGGGATTGGAACAAGACTGGGGACCATTAGACTCCTTGGCTACCATATCACTATGGGACCTTAGATTCATTTTTCATCCTCTCTTTGCATGATAGAAATACTGGCCTTCCCAGGGAAGTGGGAGGCCACACATCTTAAAGGACTTTAAAAAAAAAGAAAACAGAAATTAAATTAAAAGATAATGCATCAGAAGGCACTAGTGTTAAGGGTTGAGTTTAAAAGAGGTTTTGGAAGTCATTAGGATTAGAAACATTATAAATACCTGGCTTTCCCCCCCAAAAAAATCACCTCATATTTATTTTGGACATGTTTTGTATGGGAAGTGATAGCAGGTAGAGAGCTAGCCTTGAAGCCCAGATGGGTTCAAGTCCAGCCTGTGACATATAGTGATCATGTGACCTTGAGCAAATCACTCACATTTTTAGGGGGGTAGTCAGCCCTCTAAGACCAGAACTGCAGGAGAGAAGCTGACTTGCACTGATGGAGGGATCTTCCTTACCTGGGAGTTCCCTATACCAATGAAATCACAGACCCAGTCACTGCCTCCTATATTTGGTGTTTGTGTATATTCATATATATATATATATATATATTAATATATATATATGTGTGTGTGTGTGTGTGTGTGTGTATACATTGTCTCCCATACATGTATGTATGTACATTGTCTCCCATAACAACATGGAAACTCCATGCGGGAGGGATCAGCTCGTATTCACCTTTGTATCCCCAGGGCTCTGCACTGTGTCTGATACATAATAAGAACCTAATAAATATTTGCCAATTGAATCATTCAGCTTGACCCCACGGATTAGAATTAGTACCACTGGGTGGAAGTTACAGGAAGTAAATGCTGGCTCTGTCCATAGAAGGACCTTTCTCCCAGTTAGAGCTGTCCAGCAGCAGAATGAGAACAAGGAGTACCCTGGAACCACAGCTGGGAGGCACTTCCAGAGGAAGAGAAGAGGGCTCAGAGATGGGAGTGACTTTTCTGAGGTTACACAGCTAAGAGCAGAGTCTGAACTCAAGCCCAAGTCTTCTCATTCAAAATCCAAGACTCTTTCCATGCCTCTTACTGACCCAGAGCTGGTTCATATGGTCAGAGGTGATGCTGTAGGGACCAAGCCATACATGGATCAGTTAAAGAAAAGGGCAACGTTTTAGGCGGTTGGGTGGCACAGAGGG